AAAAATGAAATGCTAGCCACTTTATTTTGTTTTAATGCAGTTTCTTATTGTTAGATTTAGTTTTGGAGCCAAAGATTTCGCAAAATTGCCCTTCTAAAATATTATATTTGAAGTAGGGCAGGGGTTCTCAAACTGGGGGTTGGGACCCCTCAGGGGGTCGCGAGGTATTACATGGGGGTCATGAGGTGCCAGCCTCCACCCCAAACCCCGCTTCGCCTCCAGCATTTATAATAGTGTTAAATATATAAAAAAGTGTTTTTAATTTGGGGGGGGTCGCACTCAGAAGCTTGCTACGTGAAAGGGGTCACTAGTATAAAAGTTTGAGAACCACTGAAGTAGGGTGACCACTCGTCCCGAATGGGCAGGACAGTCCCAAAATGCAGAGTTCAAGTCCTGGTCCCGGGCTGAATGACCCTGGGACAGCATTTGCCCCAGATTACCTGTGGTACCGCTCTGCACCTGCCTGATGCTCAGGGGCAGTACCAGCCTTATCCCAGTGGGGGCGGGGGCGCTTAGGTGGGCCTTTGCCCGCAGCCTGGCCAGGCCAGAAGCCGGAGCCAGGCCATGGTAAGAGCCACTCAGGGAGCCTGGGATGCTGTGGGGAGCGCCGGATCCTCCACCTGCCCTGGGCAGGACACCCTGTGGGGTAGAGACATGGGCCAGAAGCTGCTCTCAGGCCTCCCACCCAGGGCAGGTGGACAGTTTGGGGTTCCCCAAAGCAACCCAGGCTTCCTGGGTAGCTCTTACCATGGCCCAGCTCCGGCTTCTGGCCAGGCCAAGGGGTGGGGCCTCAGGGGAAGAGGAGGAGCAGGGGGTGGGGAGTCAGTGGAAGAGGAGGAGCAGGGCCTCATGGAAGAGGAGGAGCAGAAGTGTAGCCATGGAGGAGGATGGGTAACCTGCATGTGTCCCTCTTTTGCCTTTTGAAAAGGTGGTCACCCTAATTTGAAGCTACAAATAAATCATATATGAAAAGCATAAACATTCAGTAATGTAAGTGCTGGATGGCAACCGAGTAGGGAAGGTCAGCTTCTTCTGCTTCATACGCTGTCTGGACTGCAAGTTCCAGGTGAAAATCTAGGTAATAACTGCAACCCACAAAGATCTGAATTGTCTAGGCCAGTCGTTCTCAAACTCCATTGCACCGTGACCCCCTTCTGACAATAAAAATTACTACACTACCCCAGGAGAGGGGACTGCAGACTGAGCCTGCCTGAGCCCCACCGCCCCAGGCAGGGGAGCCAAAGCTGAAGCCCAAGGGCTTCTGCGTGGGCGGGGGGCATGTAACCTTAGCCCTGGGCGGTGGGGCTTGGGCTTTGGCTTCAGCCCTGGGTGGTGGGGCTTGGGCTTCAGACTTGGGCTTCAGACCAACATCAGCCTTGGTGACCCCATTAAAATGGGGTCGCGACCCACTTTGGCATACCAACCCATAGTTTGAGAACCCCTGGTCTAGCCCCCAGTTATCTTACACCTCCTATTAGCTGCTTTTATGCTACAACCTTCCTTTTTGCCCCTTAGCATGTAAAATATACTAATTTTGCATATGCATTGAGTCCTATATTGATGTAGGTTATTTTACTGCACCACCTACATCCACCTAAACCAATTTCCTGATCCTCACTCACCCTCACATGTAACTTTCACCACCTTTTACATAACTACTGAATATGACTCCATTACTTTAACTTTCAGACACTGGATATTGTCTCATAATGCATGCACTAATTTTTATTATTCAAATGTACATTTTAAGCATCCATCACTAAAGTGAATGGGTACATTTTGCATAAATTGGACCAAGCACATCTCTATTGACCACACATTAAACCAACTGAGATGTGGGAATACCAGCCAGAACACAAGTTTCTATAGGGAAGTCTAAAGTCAGCTCTTAGTTGGAAGGCCTTAACAAAGGGGTGCATTTTACAGCTTTTTCTAAAATTGGACAAGTATGGGCTCACATTTATAGAAGCAAGTTCCAGGGACAGAGACACCCTATTGAGGGAGACCTGATTCAGATTCTGCAAGTTCTTTCCTTGGACCAGCTTGCCAAAGTATTACTGCCAATTGCAGTACCAGCTGATGATCTTGCCCCAAGTACTACCTGCTTCACTGCAGACATAGAGGGTCTGATTCCCATCTCACTGAAAACAGTGTAAATCTTTACAACTTCTATTAAAGTCAATGGAGTCACTTTGAATTTACACTAACATGCATAGACCAGACTTAGACCCTGTGTATTTTTCACAGATGTTTTATTTCTTTTCTCTGATTTCTCCATCTGCTCCCTGTGGGAGATCTTATTGCCAGCGTCAACAAAGGGCATCATTTCTATGCAGATGATATCCAACTTTACAACTCACTCCACTCGCTCTCTGATCCCTCTATTGCCACCTGTTGTCACTCTGTCAATCAACACATGCCTACACCATCACTAAGGAATGCTTCAAAGACATTCAAAATGTTTTAAGAGTCCTCTTTGTTCCATGTCTCTGACTCTTCTATCACTCTGCTTAATTCAGACCTGTACTTCTAGGGCCAGAAATCGTATAATCTGTGACAAACTTTTTTGTGTTCCCTCATCTTCCATATTGAAGTCTGTCCTTCACTACCTCCAGAACATTCACAGATTTATCCTTACTTCAGATTCTGCTTTGCATATCTTATGCACAATGCCTTAATCACTTCCCATCTTGGATAATGCAGTTCAATACATTTTAGTCTTCATAAAATCCTACTCTCCTAACTTTACAGTCCAATATGCAGGAACCAGAATACTATCTTACTTGAGAAAGTGGGGGCTCCTCAACCTATCCTTCATCAATTTACAGGCTTTCTTAACATCTCTGAATCCAATTTTAAAAACTGTGTAAAAATATTAAAGTATTTACAGGAATGGTTCAAAAAACTCAAAAACAATGACAATAGCACCATTGTTTTGGGTAGAAGGCTAGTATTTTTAATACAGGAATTGCTTTCCTGAATTTGTTGGCCTTTGGATTTATACCAGATTCTCTCTCAGCGCTTATATGAACCTTCTCCTTTGCTCATCCAATCTTAGCATCTTCTTATCTATTGCCTCTTTCCTTCACTCTTCACAGTGGAGGAGCAATCCCACTTTTTCACTTCTCCTAGATTCACCTAATCTTAAAGTCAGGGTATGTCTACACTGCAATAAAACACCTGCAGCTGGCCTGTGTCAGCTAACTCAGGCTTGCAGAAGTCAGGCTGCAGGCCTATAAACTTGTGATGTAGATGTCTGAGCTTGTGCTGGAGCCTCGGCTCTGGAATGCTCCCCACCTGTGGGATCCTAGAGTCCAGGCTTCAGCCCAAGCCCAATGTCTTCACTGCAATTTTATAGCCCTGCAACCTGAGTCAGCTGAGATGGGCCAGCCATCGGTGTTTTATTGCAGTGTAGACACACTTTCTATTCCTTCCTTCTGAACCACTGCATTCCATTCCAACTTCTTTGTTGCTGCTTCGTGTAGATGATAAAGTGGGGAAAGAACATCTGCAATGCTGCCGCAGTCCTGGAACTCTGACACTTCAAAGACTGCCATTCCACCACTACACAGAAGCTGCCAAAGGAAGCCAACAGCAAATAGATTAAATTTAGCTAAATCCTTTCTTTCACTTCACTGTGATACGTGGATGATATATATATATGAAAGGAGGTGAAACCATATCAGAAGAGAGGGTGGGGGAATCTGGGTACAAATACAGGGGGCCTGCAGCTGTACTGAGTGGATGCCAATAGGTGAGTGAAAAGTTGTGTGTGCGCAAGGGTATGAGCACGTCCCTCTTAACCCCCTCAACCCCACAAGCCTATCCAGAAAGTCCCAGAGGTTTATTTGTGAAATTTAAACAAAGTATGAAACTACACAGAGGTTTTGAGGCTGGAGAGAAAGATAAACAGTGAAGTGAACTATATGGCAGGGAGTGGCTCTCAAACTGTGAGAAGTTCTTAATAGAGAGATTGTCTATCATCTACCTTTACATTCACCATTGCCGGGCTTCACCTCCCCTCCCATTTGCTATCACATGAACCACCTTTCCTCCCATTTGCAACCCCACCATAGCATTCCTATGGCAACTACAGCAATTGCTTACATAGAAACGCAATCGGAAAATATTTAATGTATTTTTAGCTCTCTCTTAATGGAACTTAACAGCTGGAAACAAGAAGAGCCAGCATCACGTGATTAGTCAGCTCTCTTCAGAATACCAGCAAGTACTCTGTGGACCATGAACCACAGATTGACAACTATTGCCAAGAGAGTTGCCATCCTTGAGGGTTTGGGGTGGGGGTGGGAGAGAGTCTAGGAGGGTCATAGGAACATGGTGGCAAATGGCATTGACATGCAGCAGCACCTTGCGTTGCACCTACTTGATTACAGTGACAAGCTGGGCCCCTACATTGTGCCTCTTATGTTGTGATGCACTATGAGGCCAGGTGGGAGCTTCCCTACCCCAGGATGCCCCCTCAGCCACAGGGTTCAGGAGGCTCCCAAGAGGGAGGCAAGGAACCCCGGTGATGCTGATGGCAATGGCACAGGGGGTAACTGGAGGGTGCTAGGCCCCAATCCTTGACCCCCAGGAGGCAATGCTGGGAGCCCGCAGGGCATGGGGGAGGTGGAAGGTGTACATGGGGGCCGCAAAGGGGGCTCTACACCACACAGGCTGCTGGGAAAGGACGAGAGGGGGCACAGAGCCAGCCCCCCACGCGCGCCGCACAGGCTGCTGGGAAAGGAGCACTAGAAGGGAGGGGCCAACAAAACACCGGGAAGCCGGGGGGTGACGTCACACCGCACAGGCTACTGGGAAGGTGAGGCGCCTGCACGGGAACGTCAGGACGCAGCAGCAGCCTCCCGGCGTGGCTGGGTTTTCTTCCAGCCACGTGCCCCCCTGTCACCCTGGCAACCGGGCGCAGCTTCTCGCGGGGAGACTCTCGTGAGAGCTGCGGCTGTATAAAGTGTCGGCTCTCGCGCGGGGCGGGCCGGAAGGCGGCGCGGCGGGTTTGAAGGCAGCGGCGGGAGGTGAGACGTGAAACCGCCGCCGTCGCCGCCACCCTCCCCCCCCCCCTTGCGCTGCGCCGCCGAACCCGCCCGCGGGGCCGGGATCTTGCCGGGGAGCGCGGGGCGGCCCGGGCCCTGGGTGGCTGCAGCCCTGTGTGTGAGCGGGTCCGTCCTGCTGCGGGGGCCTGTCCGCCGCCCAGGGATGCGGCTGGGGCAGACGCGGGGGGAGGGGGACAGAGGAGAGGCAGAGCAGGGCTGGAGACAGCTAAGGCCATAAGAACGGCCATCGCGGTTAGATCAATGGTTCATCTAGTCCAGTGTCCTGCCTTCAGAGCTGGGTAATTATCAAGTGATCCCTCCCTGTCATCCAGTCTCCGCTTCTGGCAGTCAGAGGTTTAGCGTGCCCAGCGGGAGGGTGGGGTTGCATCTCTGACCATCTTGGCTAATGGCTATGGTGACCAAATGTGAAAAATCAGGCTGGGGTAAAACAAAGACCTTAAAATTGGGACAGTCTGGTCACCCTACTAATAACTGTGGTTGGACCTATCCTCCATGAACGTAGCTAATTCTTTTTTTAACCAAGTTATAGTTCTGGCTTTAATAACATCCCCTGGTGACAAGTTCCAGCGGTTGACTGTGCATTGGGTGAAGTACTTCCTCATGATCGCTTTAAACCTGTTGTCTATTAATTTCATGACCCGCACCAAGGCACCCCGGTTCTCTCTCCTCAGGGGACAGAGTCTATCAGGAGATAGACCATAGATGCGATCAGTCCTGCAGTGAGCTGGGTGGGATGGGCCACTCAATGCGTTTCTTCCATGTCATATCGTTGCCATTCAGTGAACAGTGTATGAGTTCAACACCATGGATAACTCTGATTTCATAAACACAATATCTGAAAAGCTATAGTAGCCAACGGAAAGGTGGGAGGGAGGGGAAGAGATAAAGTTGATCATTTAAATCTAGTTCTGCCTGCTTTGTCTTGAGTGTTTAATTGCCACCGTTATCATTGCATAGTGTGTTTTGGCTGCCTCTCTCAGGCATGCTTTCCCTGCAGAAAATTACTGCAAAATCAACATAGATGTTATGGAATCAAACATATGCAATTTAGGAAAAGCTGAATCTTTACTCTGCCCTTATTTGTTGACACCCTAAAATATGGACTGTATAACATTGAGTGGCTTTTTTTCTTTTCTTTTAAAGAGCCTCAGTGGTTTATGGTGCACAGATCACATTGACTTTCAATGTTACATGTGCTCCTAATTCACTTAGATAACAGAAAATCCTAACTTGCAAATACATAGTGGAACATCTAACTTGCAGTTAATTCTGATTCACTCTGTCTTGGTTTGAATGAGTGTCGGGATCTGCAAACAAGCCATATCTAAAGAAAGTCTGAGTAAGTGATGTTATGGATGTTTAAAGGGTCTTGAGTTTGTCTATTATTGTGAAGCATGCTAGCTGGAAGACTGGATAAAGGCTCAAACTTCCTAATTTTAAACGTATGTAAATTACGGTGCTAACAAAAGCTTCAGATCTACTTCTTCCTTAACTGAGGTTTTAATAATAATAATTACAACTATTTTGCATATCTATAAAGCCTTCCACCTAAGGATAAGAATGCTTTGCAAACATTAAGCCCGTTTATGACAGGTTTTTTTTTTACAGATGTGGTGACTGAGATATCCGGGTCAACTACAGAACTGGGACAGAACAGTTTTAGTATTTTGCTTTAGCCCTTTGCTTCTTTCCTTAAATTCTGAACTCAGGCATGCTCAACCTGGAGCTTTGCCTCAGAAGTGAGAGTAATTCAAAGCTGAAAGGTCTTGCAGCCATCCCAACACTTAAAGCCATCATAGGTTTGCATTGGCTTTTAAAAAAACCAGAAGGTTCCATACATTGTAAAGGTTAATAACATTAACTGGTATTTTCAACTTTGATTTGTGTTGTAGTCCTGACTGAGACATAAGAATCAAATAGTTTGAAGACAGCACCGTACCTTAACTGTATAAACTTGATAAGAAATTTCATTTAGGATTATACTGATAAATCATTTAAAGTGAGACGAAGGGATCATATTTTAAGGCATAAGCATAAGATGCAGAATTAAGGTTGAGTTTTCAACGTTAGCTCTGTATTTCCTGACTCAAACGCTTGATATCTCAATCTTAACATTTCATTAATATAACCTCATTTGCTTGGAATTTCATTGCTTGCATGTAATGCCGCCATAGTATCAGTCACGTTCGAAGCCTTATTTAAGACCCACTTCTATTTTCATTTTTTTAAAAAAAGCCCTTAAAACTTTGCACATCTACATTCACAGAAAGGAAGGGTTTTTTCTGGCAAAATTGGAAATAAATGTCTGAAAAGTATTAGGGCTTGTCTTCATGTACAGTCTAAAAAGCTTTAGTGAAAACACTCCTAGGCTGACAGAAGAGCTTCTCTCATTGATGTAGTTAATCCACCTCCCTCCGAAGCGGTAACTGTTGACAGGAGAAACTCGCCTGTCCACATAGCACTGTCTACATGGGGGAGGTTAGATTGGTATAACTACATTGGGGTGTGGATTTTTCACACCCTGAGCGATGTAGTTATATTGATATAGGTCTGTAATGTAGACCAGGTAAATTATCTCCCTTATGCTAAGATTGTACAGGATGGGGACTCAGAGGAACAACCTTCACAGCCCAGATTAGTTTTAAAAGCCTTTTCATAGATTGTTGTACTAATCCATAGTCGATGGAATGTGACCCAATTCTCATTTATTTGTATGTATGTTTGTCATCAAGCCTTGTATCTGAGTTTGTACCACATGGCATTAGTTCAGTCTTGACATCTTGTTGCAACCATAATATTAAGCAATAAAATCTTTCTTTTAACAGGCATCTTGGATTTTGTGCAACAGAGTGAAAAATAGTGGAATAAGCAGTGAAACTTTCTTAATCTGGCTGACTTGAGTTCCTTTGTTGGAACAAAGGTAAACTGGTAGAAGATGCCAACTGGGAAAGTTTTGCAACCTGTACTAAAAATGAAAGTGGATGAACTCTTCCTGTGCTGGCTCAGTCAGCCTACAACCCAGTTGATGTTAAAGGATTGTTTGAGAAGGATCAAGAATGAAGAGAAGACTGAAATTGGTAGTGGAGATGCTGGGGACAGTGAACCTCTCACTTTTACTAATAAAACCTCCAAATCTAAACAAAGTATGCTAGATAACCTGATATCTCCTTTGGTGACTCCTTCCAGTCCTCCTCATCTTTCCACAGCTCTTCCCCTGGGAACTTCAACTAGCCCAAGAAACCTATCTAATATTAGAGGAATACGTAGATCTACAGGGACAAGAACAGTAAGTTCCTTTACTTTCTGAGACTTAAATTAGAATACTTTTGTAATAGGTGAATCCTGAGGTGTGTGGTGTTGATGAGTTATGAGGATGTTTGTCACGGCATTCAATCAAAAAGTGAGTTAGTGGCATAAATCGCTAATCTTTGCTAATACTTGTCTAAACTACCAAGAGACTGATAGTTTTATAGGTGATTGCTTGTGAGTTTCTTGTTTTGTTTTGTGTAATGTTCATTTTGTTTTTTCCTCTTGAATCTCCATTTCTTCAAAAGCAACAATGGTAGTTGTTAGTTATTCAGTACTGTGAAGTTTAACAAAGTAATGTAAAAGGACACTAAACTCTGACAAATATAATACCGTACAATCTGAGCTGTATATCTCTATGTTGCAACTCTTACTAGATGCTAAACGTACCACAGTGAATGCTACGTGTGCAGGAAAATCATTTCCTCCTAGAGGATTAGAAATTGCAGAAAATGGTTGATTTTAGTTGTAGAGTAGCTGTTTTAATAAACTTAGCATCTAAGTTATTTTGCACTCTTATGTGGGTGTGCATCTGATAAAATCTTCTACTGCACTGTTTGGATTTACAAGATACACTAGTGTCTGAAATTGGTATTAGGGATTTCATTTGACTAAAGATGTGGAGTAGAGCCTTACAAACTGACATCTCTAGTTGGAAGCTCTAGTTCACTGATTATCCAAGGGCCACATGTCACTTTTCCGGGCGCTAATACAGTGCAGTGCACTTTACTAGAGTTTGAAACATTTACCATACACACCTAACTCTACAAAGGGAGTGGTACTATCTACCAATAGAAGGACAAAGTCCTGGTGAGAAGCCGAGGCCCAAATTTTTAAACGTATTTATGCTTTGTTCAGCATTGCAAAACCTAACTGTTTTAGGAGCCTAAGTCTCTTTGCCTCCTAAATCACTTTGGCTATGTCTACACTACAGAATTAGGTCGGATTTATAGAAGCCGGTTTTATAGAAACCGGTTGTATGCAGCCGATTGTGTGTGTCCCCACCTAAAATGCTCTAAGTGCATGAAGTCGGCGGACCGCGTCCACAGTACCGAGGCTAGCGTCGACTTCCGGCGCATTGCACTATGGTACCTATCCCACAGTTCCCGGAGCCTCCGGCGCCCATTGGAATTATGGGTTGAGATCGCAATGCCCGGATGATGCAAAGCAGTGCTGCGAGGGGTTCTGGGTACATTGCGTCAGGCCCCTCCCCCGCCGTCACAGCAACGGCAGACAATAGATTCGCGCCTTTTTACCTGGGTTACCTGTGCAGACAACATACCACGCCAAGCATTGAGCCCGCTCAGCTCAGCTCACCGTCACCATATCTCTTCCGGGTGCCGGCAAACGTGGGACTGCATTGCTAAACAGCAGCAGCAGCTTACTGCCTTTTGGCGGTAGACGGTGCAGCATGACTGGTAGCCTTCATTGGCGATCTGGGTGCTGGCAGCTGTGGGGCTGGCAGCCGTAGGGCTGCATTGCACCAGCCCCTTGCCTTTTGGTAGAAGATGGTTTATTACGATTGGTATCCGTCGTCGTCGTACTGCAGTGGCTGTCGATCATGGGCACCCGGGCAGACAATGATGGTTATCAGTCGTAGTATGCTATTTTCTGCCAGGCGCCCTGCTGGCTCATTGCACGTTAGCAGAGTCGTAGTATGCTATTTTCTGCCAAGTGCCCAGTATTGTCTGCTAAGCACCCAGAAGAGGCCGATGGCGATCTGGGTGCTGGCAGACATGGGGCTGGCAGACGTGGGGCTAGATTGCTACACAGCAGCAACCCCTTGCCTTTTGGGCAGAAGATAGTATATTATGACTGGTATCCGTCGTTGTCACACTGCAGTGGGCATCATATTGTGCAGTAGACCTGAAGGCTTACTGCCAAGCACCCAGTATTTGCTGCCAAGCACCCAGAAAATGCCAAGGGCTATCAGTCATGCTGCGCCGTCGTCTTAAGATGTAAAAAATAGATTTATTCTGTATTCATTTGCTTCCCCCCTCCCTCCTGCTAAACCCAGGCTTTTGAGTTCAATCTTTGGGGGGGGGCATTCTGTGTGACAGTTGTTTGTGTTTCTCCCTGATGCAAAGCCACCTTTCTTGATTTTAATTCCCTGTACCTGTACGCGGTGTCACTCGCCCCTCCCTCCCTCTCTCCCTCCCTCCCTTCTTCCCCTGGTCCGTCAGATACTACTTTCGCGCCTTTTTTCAGACCAGACGCCATAGCCAGCACTGGGATCATGGAGCCCGCTCAGATCACCGCGGCAATTCTGAGCACTATGAACACCACGCGCATTGTCCTGGAAAACATGCAGAGCCTCCTGGACATGCCAAAGCCAAACCAGGACCAGCTGAGGAGGAGGCGATTGCAGCGCGGCGACGATAGTGATGAGGAAATTGACATGGACCTCTCACAAGGCACAGGCCCCAGCAATGTGGAAATCTTGGTGTTACTGGGGCAGGTTCATGCCGTGGACCGCCGATTCTGGGCCCGGGAAACAAGCACAGAGTGGTGGGACCGCATCGTGTTGCAGGTCTGGGACGATGCCCAGTGGCTGCGAAACTTTCGCATGCGTAAGGGCACTTTCATGGAACTTTGTGACTTGCTTTCCCCTGCCCTGAAGCGCCAGAATACCAGGATGAGAGCAGCCCTCACAGTGGAGAAGCGAGTGGCGATAGCCCTGTGGAAGCTTGCAACGCCAGACAGCTACCGGTCAGTCGGGAATCAATTTGGAGTGGGCAAATCTACTGTGGGGGCTGCTGTGATCCAAGTTGCCAGGGCAATGAGAGACCTGGTGATATCAAGGGTAGTGACTCTGGGAAACGTGCAGACCATAGTGGATGGCTTTGCTGCAATGGGATTCCCAAACTGTGGTGGGGCCATAGACGGAACCCATATCCCTATCTTGGCACCGGCGCACCAAGCCGCCGACTACATAAACCGCAAGGGGTACTTTTCAATGCTGCTGCAAGCCCTGGTGGATCACAAGGGACGTTTCACCGACATCAACGTGGGCTGGCCGGGAAGGGTACATGATGCTCGCGTCTTCAGGCAGTCTCTTCTGTTTCGAAAGCTGGAGGAAGGGACTTTCTTCCCGGACCAGAAAATAACCATTGGGGATGTTGAAATGCCTATCGTGATCCTTGGGGACCCAGCCTACCCCTTAATGCCATGGCTCATGAAGCCGTACACAGGCAGCCTGGACAGGAGTCAGGACCTGTTCAACTACAGGCTGAGCAAGTGCCGAATGGTGGTGGAATGTGCATTTGGCCGTTTAAAAGCGCGCTGGCGCAGCTTACTGACTCGCTCAGACCTTAGCGAAAAGAATCTCCCCATTGTTATTGCTGCTTGCTGTGCGCTCCACAATATATGTGAAAGTAAGGGGGAGACATTTATGGCGGGGTGGGAGGTTGAGGCAAATCGCCTGGCCGCTGATTACGCGCAGCCAGACACCAGGGCGGTTAGAGGAGCACAGCAGGGCGCGGTGCGCATCAGAGAAGCGTTGAAAACCAGTTTTGTGACTGGCCAGGCTACGGAGTGAAACTTCTGTTTGTTGCTCCTTGATGAACCCTCTGCCCCTCCCCCACCACCCTGTTAACTCTACTTCCCTGCAAACCAACCACCCCACCCTCCCCTACTACCCTCCCCCCTTCGAGCACCACTTGCAGAGGCAATAAAGTCATTGTTGCTTCACATTCATGCATTCTTTATTAATTCAGCACACAACTAGGGGGATAATTGGAAAGGTAGCCCGGGATGGGTGGGGGAGGAGGGAAGGAAAAGGACACACTCCAATTTAAAACTTTAAAACTTATTGCTATGGAAATCATCTAGGGTGGAGTGAGTGGGTGGCCGAAGGCCCCCCCACCGTGTTCTTGGGCGTCTGAGTGAGGAGGCAATGGGACTTGGGGAGGAGGGCTGTTGGTTACAGAGGGGCTGTAGCGGCGGTCTCTGCTCCTGCTGCCTTTCCTGCAGCTCAACCATACGCAGGAGCATATCACTTTGATGCTCCAGCAGCCGGAGCATCGACTCTTGCTTTCTGATTACAAGTTGACGCCACCTCTCCTCTTCAGCCCGCGTTTCAGCACGCAACTTCTCCTCTTCAGCATGCCACCTCTCCTCTCGCTCATATTGGGCTTTTTTAAAATCAGTCATTGACTGCCTCCACGCATTCAGCTGTGCTCTGTCAGCGTGGGAGGCAGTCTGAAGTTCAGTAAACATTTCATCACGCGTCCTTCGCTTCCTTCTTCGAATATTCACTAGCCTCTGCGAAGGAGTAAGATTTGCAGCTGGTGGAGAAGGGAGAGGTTGTTAAAAAAGATACATTTTAGAGAACAATGGGTAGACTCTTTCACGTTAGATTTTGCTGTTCACAACATCACACAGCACATGTGCTTTCGTTACAAGGTCGCATTTTTCCTCTTATATTGAGAGTCTCCTGGTTTGGTGTGAGAGATCACTCACGCAGTGCCAGGACACAGATTTCAGCTTGCAGGCAGCCATGGTAAGACATATAGTCTTTGGGCTTTTTTAACCTTCTTAACATGTGGGGATGGTTTCAAACAGTTCTGCCCTCATTTCCCATACCAAGCACCCGTGCCATTTAAAATGGGTTTGCAATGTAAAAGGAGGGGCTGCGATTTCAGGTTTAACATGCAGCACAAACCCAACTAACTCCCCTCCCCCTCACACCCAATTCTCTGGGATGGTCACTTCACCCCTCCCCCCCACCGCGTGGTTAACAGCGGGGAATATTTCTGTTCAGCAGACCAGGAAAGGGCACCTCTGAATGTCCCCTTAATAAAATTGCCCCATTTTAACCAGGTGACCGTGAATGATATCACTCTCCTGAGGATAACAAAGAGCGATAAGGAATGGATGTTGTCTGCATGCCAGCAAACACCGGGACCATACGCTGCCATGCTTTGTTATGCAATGATTCCAGACTACGTGCTACTGGCCTGGCGTGGTAAAGTGTCCTAC